TTGCACATCAATGAAAATTCTCAAAACTTTCTCTCGAATCATCCCGATAATTTTGGACCATATATAACGAAGTTCATGCACATCATTTCAAATTCTTGAAACTCTCTCTTGAATTGTCCTGATAATTTTGCACATAGATTATAAGGTATTTTCTCCCTCCCTTCTGCATACCTTCATGGTATAATGGTAGCACACTCGGTGTGTATTCGAGAGGTCCAGGTTCGAGTCCTGGAGAGGACATCGCTAATTTTTCCCATCTCCTGCTTAAAGCAACCTAATGCACCTATATTGCTGCCTGAACTAAAAAGGTGGTGGACGATGATTTTTCACCACCGGGGACCCTAGTCCCCAGTCACCCTTTAAAAAAGGGAGTATATATGGTACCAAAAGTGGGTACAGCCCGACCCACATAACCAAAGGTCTTATAGTCATAACAGGCCATGCCAAGAGTATATAAGGTATTTTCTCCCTCCTTTCTGCATGCACACTCAACGCCTATTCGAGAGGTCCAGGTTCATGTCCAGGCCAATCAAAAATTCTAATGACTCTTCAAGTTAATGAAGTTCATGCATGTCATTAAAAATTCCCAAAACCATCTCTTAAATTGTCATGATAATTCTGGACATACATTGCTAATAAATCTTGTAGTTCATGCCGAGCTACATAAACGCTTCATCAACCACATATTCCATCTGTCTACCAGCCGAAATCTTTAACCTAGTTGTTTAATTTTGAGCTGTTTTTAAGATACATGGCAAATCAAAACTTATGTTATAGAAAGGAAACATACCTGTCACTACTATAATGAACTTATTTCACAAATGCAAATATAACGTGAATACATAACTGTTAATATTTCTAAGGACATGCAGAGATGTTCGATGTGGAGGCCTTTTTAACATGGCAGACATCTTCACAATAGTTCAGTTCTTAAGCTCTTGCCAAATAGGTGTACAGATCCACCATATTCTAACTATTGGACCCATGAAGGCAATCAAATGACTTACCATCTCATCTTGAATTTCTAAGTAAAATAACTCAGTAGAAAGTTTAAAATAAATTAAAATAAATCTCAAATGGAGTTTGAAATGGAGTCTGTATGCATAGGATACTTTAGAAAATAAAAGTTTAAGGGAGCAAAATTTCACATTATTGCTTGAAATTTGTAGTGATCAAGCAGTAGATTATTGTACAGCTTTTTATTTCGTTATTAAGCTTTCATGAATGACATGTAAGAGGTACATGATCATTGAAAATTAGGAAAAAATATCAACAGATTAAAGAAGTGTAATAAGAATGCTGGCATCAGTGCAGGGGCAATCGGTGCAGCTGCAGAGTGGAGTATTAAAGGGTGAAAAATTTTAGATATGTCGGGCAGCAAAATTCCTCTAACCCAGTGCGAGATATAAAGAAAGAAGGTCATCAAACAAGAAATCGAAAAATAAGAGAAAATAGCACAAGCTAAAGAGATTTTACCAAAATCACTATACTGAATTTGACAGATACTTTGAAGAAGAGAGACATCTGTGTTCTGTTTATCCCTCACTGATGCAATGTTATTGATATGAAGATCTGATGATTAATGTGAAAGATCTCTATCTGGAATAACAATATTTGATAAAATGGGATTTAAAACATTTTGACTAAAATTCAAAACGTTGTCAAACCAGTGATTCTTCCCACGACTCCAAATATTTCAGCATGTACAACCATTGGTAAAATAAATTATGATCTCTGCCTAGAATTACAAAGGAATTATTACAAAAGATAGCATTTCATGTGGGAAAAGTGTTATTAAGAATGACTGTAAAATCTATGAATCAACTGCATAAAAACGCCCAACTTGCTTAAGAAACTTAGTTTTGAAGGAGTTCTGCAAAAAGTTGAGACTCGACCAAAAATAAAATCCTCGTAAAATTCTTCTCCAGATTAAAAGAGCTCTATATAGATTGCAAGGCAAAACGGTTTTCTTCAGCAGTTACTCACACCATTCAAGAACTCAATAGAAGAACGAACAACAAATCTTCCAGGTGGATCACAGCTGTTGTGAACAATGGGATCACACAGGAATGTAAACAGATACTACCTGAAGTAAAATTAATTTGAGAAAAAAAATATTAGGCAAAATAATTAAATAAAATATTAGCACTGCATTTTAGATTAACTTATTGTACTCTGATGACTATTACTTGTTCAAAAAGTAACATAAACAGAATAGTAATTACCAGAAATGGAATTATAACTTTATGTATTTGTTGCTCTGACGATAAGCCAGCAGTGGATTCTTTGAAATCAATCAAATTTTTACATACGTTATATCAGAAATTAAATTAGCGATTAATAAACATAGCACTGCATGATTTCTATTTCAAATTCCATTTGTATTAAAAAATTAAACTATATTTATTCAAAACAGATGGCAAAGGATCGTAAGTAGCTCATGAGCCTCAATTAACGTGTCGGTGAGCTTCATGCAGCTCGACAGGTACATATGACTGATCACTTTGATATTCTTGAGGAGCAGGCTGCATATACGAGGGTTGGAACTTTAATAGTGGCAACACAGCTGAAAAAACGCTACGGAACAAAACCAAAGAATATCGCGTATACCACATGTGAACTACATACCTACCTTACCTCTCAGCAAAAAAACTCGTCTTGCCTACGTCACGCGCATGCGGAGTGACGCGAAGAACGGATCCTTGTATTCGCTCGCAGTCTAAAGTAAGTGTTGTCAGGATGTTTTCAAAACAAGAACAACGATGTTGGATAAAAATTGAATGTGCTAGAGGTCATACAGCACGACAGTGTCATCAAGGGCTTCAAGAGGATTGCGGGGAATCTGCATTGCCTTACAGAACTGTAGCAAGATGGGTGAAAGCATTCAATGAAGGACGCCAAAACGTGGCAGACATGCTGCGGCCAGGTTGTCCGAGTGTCAGCGATGCAGACATGCAAGCTGTTGTGATCGCTGCCAAACGATTCGTCAGCTGGCCGGACAAACAGGATTAGCGCATACGACTCTGCTGCACATTCTGAAGGAACGCCTGTCCATGAGAAAAATTGCTTCACGATGGGTTCCGCATCAATTGACGGAAATGCAGAAATGGCTACGATACGATGCTGCCTGAACCCACCTGGAGCGCTATGAGCGCAAAGGAGATGCTTTTTTACGCCGTATCATTACGCTGGATGAGACTTGGGCCCGATCGTACCAGCCAGAACTGAAACGCCGATCAAACGAATGGCGTCATCACATGTCACCACGACGTTCGAAATTTCATCAGAATCCCAGCAATGTGAAAGGTATGGTGATTCTCGTGTATGACTGTGATGGTGTCATCCTAACGCATACCATTCCCCCACAGCAGACCGTCACTGCGCAGTATTACTGCTCATTTTTGGAGCACAATCTCCGACCAGCTTCGAGAAAAAAACGGCGACACTTTCTGCAGAACGCTCCTCTCATTTTGCATGACAATGCTCGGCCGCTTGCAGCGCAAGCTGTGACTGATTTGTTCAAGCGATGGGGCTGGGAAGTGCTTTACCATCCACCATACTCCCCAGATCTAGCCCTTGTGACTATGACCTAATTCCTAAGATGAAGGAACCACTTCATGGCACTCGTTTCTAAACTGTTCCTGAGATTCTTGCGGCAGTAGACTGGTCCATTCAAACTATCAACAAAACAGGCACTGCTACAGGTAATCTGCGACTTCCATATCGTTGGAAACGGGTTGTACACAATGCTGACGACTATATTGAAAGGCTGTAAAACATGGTGACATGAATCACTTTTGTATTCCTTGTAAATAAATAGTTGCCACTATTAAAGTTCCAACCCTCGTACCTTCCATGTAGCTGCTGTTCCATTACTGAATTATTTAATAAAAAGCTCTTTACAAAAAAGATATAAAACTCAAGAATAGAAAAGTCAAAAAATATATAACCATATTTGATGAAACTGTAAACAAACAGAAGACAATTTCCACTTCAAACTGTAAGAACAATAGAATAAACTGAAACCCAAAACAAAAATAGCAGTACAAAAACACCGACAAAAAAAGTGATTTCACCAAAGGAAACTGCAGAGAAAAAGTTCTCAAAGGAAAAGAGATTATACTACAAATGTATTATTTATTGTAATGCGTTAATCTTGTAGAAAAATTTAAATTCACTAATTATTAAAACAGAACAAACGTACTTGACCAAAAGGCATTCTGCAGTTTTCAGAGGTCTTTCAGAATACCCACTAAATTACAGACACACACATTATGATTTTTATAATAGTTAATGCAATTACATGGAAATGAAATTTTCTGAATACCTACTTATAAAAATCAAAAATAACTTCTGTTTTAACATTTTGAAAGACACGAGTTTCTGCAAAATAATCGATTAAGAAACAGCAAATTTAGTTCACGCATGGGCCAATTTTTATGTTCTTCGCCATGAGTCGGCGCTCAAATTTGTGCCTCGTTTCATCTGGTGGCATGCGATTATTATCTATTCAAACCTGTATACAAGTTGTATGTTTACTAATAGTATAGTGAGTACTTATTTTGCAAGGTGTGCAACTCGTGTGGTTATTTTCATCTTAACCTCAGATTTCTGCCAATAAGTATAACTAGAAAGGCAATTAGAATGTTTTTCTAATTTTTGCCCTTATAAATAATAGATAACAGGGATATGGAAATAAGTGATTCGTCTGATGAATCTATCAATAGAAGAAGAAATATCAATAGAAGCAATCTAATAACACAATCGAATGCGTACCACCAGTGGTACGCGCCGCCCGATAAGACAGACAAGTGCGTGCCACCGGTGATACGTGCCGCCCGATGAGATAAACTAGTGTGGGCTATCGGTGGTACGCGCCGCCCGATGAGACAGTCTAGTGCGGGCTACCGGTGGCTTGCGCCGGCGTGAACATGTTAAATAAATTAATAGACTATAAGTCAATTATTCTTTATTGATGAAAATTAGAATATTTAAATTACCTTTTCCCAAAGTGAACTCGAACATTTCTCCTCGATCAACACTGGAATCAAATTTTGTTCCATCCATAAGTTTACCTGTGTAATGGACAAAAACTTTATCACCTTTACAAGGAGTTTCATCACCTTCACCGGGAGAAACAATAGTTTTTAATACCCCTCCATCCTGATTTGGTGAAATATCCATAGCATCTGGACCAGGTACATAAAAGTCATCACTTTCCATTTTTTCAACTTCCAAACTCATTTCTGTATGAATATACCTGAAAGATAAAAAAAACATAAATTTAATTTTTTTTAATTTTAAATAACAATACAAATATGAGAAAAGGTAAAGAATGTGAGAAATATCTTGATATATTCTCGAGCAGTTTTCTTAATACATTTATTTATGCATAAGGATTAAAACAGTGTGCAACATGAATAATTATTAAATGCAATACTTGTAATTATTTAATTTTTTTACCATAGATTTAAATAAATAGCTGAGATTCCCCATTCCCCACATTATCATACAATTAAGAAAAAATGTATTAACACATTGTAACATTAGCAAAGAACCCATCAACTAAATACTAATATGATAAACAAAATATTTAATAGCAAGATTTAAATTGCATTTAATTGGTATGCTGCACATTGAAATTAAAGGATATTGATAGAAATAAAACTTGTTACTTATTAAAAAATTATTTTAACACGTTGACTGCCCAACATGAGATAACTTTTACTAGTGCTCTTCTTCAGGATGCTCAATACGAGTTATCTCATAGTTTCTTGACTTGCCACTTTTGCCCTGCTACGGGTTAATTACTCGATTAGAGCTTGTCTTAGCTGTACCAAAGTGACAAGTCGAAGCCTGTCTGTATGAATCAACTCGTAGTGGGCTTCTGCGAAGAGCTTTGTCTAGCCGACTACAAGATAATTTGTAGGACCCTTTTTTCTACAAAAAAAATCTTGTAACCTTTTTAATGATTGTTACAAATCATAAATATTACTTTTAATAATATAATATGATTAAATCAATTTGGCTTCTCAGACCGGAATCCGAAAAATGCCGTGGCAGTCAACATGTTAAAAAAATTTTACAAAAGCATTATTTAAGAAACTTTTATGTCTGCCAGTTGATTATTCTTAAAATAATGAATTTAAAGTCAGATTTACGAAAATTTAAATATTATGGAAAAGCTACCACCCCCTTCCTCCATTTGCAACAATCTTTTAATATAGTGTATGAGTTACCTCTGAATGAAATGTGAATCAATCAAGTGAATTTACTAATTACTGTTGATCACGCCATCTGGAATCGTGTTGTTGTTATCATTCTCACTCGTCTGATAATGGTCAGCCTAAGCCCATGACACTAATCATGGCAAGAAGCCAAATACTCCTATTGTTGGCAAGAGCCTTGAGTGCCACATAGGTGACAGCCCGAATTTAGCTCAGTTCTGCCCTCAATTTTCAGACAGTGCTCGGGGGGGGGGGGGGGGGGTCCAATGGTCTCCCACCTCGCTTTCCCTATTACGAACCTCTCAAGAGGACTTTCTGCTTGCTGCATGTTTAGAGTGCTCCCACTCCACACAGATACTATACTTTTGACAAATGTCCATGCCTTCTCCAGAATTCAAACTCAGACCCTTCGGGTATGGCAATCAGAGTCACTAACCACTATCCCGGTTGGGCAGCACATGGAATTGTATATCACTCTTCTGTAAATGCAGTTTTCAGATCCTGGAGTGCTCGGGAAGGCATTTGGCAGCCTGAGTTATAAGGCACATATTCGTCCAGGTTCAAGGTCTGGTGAATAAGCTAGCAAATCCATTAAATGAAATATCCTTTCAAGTGTTTCAACACTAGAGATATTCAATGCAAGCAAGCATTGCCATCCATTAGCAAAAAAATCTGAGCTAACAGCCTCCTAAATGACCTTAGCATATATCTATGACTGGTAATACAACCTCCATTAGAGCCTTTTTTAAATAATTCTGCCCCTAATATGAAAGTACTTTCATGGCAACTGGATATTTCATGAACAAGATAAGGCAAATTGTATCTTTGTTCCACTCTCTAGATAAAAACAGATCTAGAATCACGGTTCAAGTTGTACCTGGTTTCATCAGTAAAAAGTATATAATGTCCCATTCCTCTTGGCTCCATTAACAATGGCATGACTTACTTTAAATGGGTTCCTCTGAAAGATGAAGCGAGCAGAATACAAATCATTGGTTATCTCAAAAAAAGTCCAACCTCGTGAAAACTTTGTGCAGCAGTAGACTGGCTAATTCGAGTTCTTGTGGCAGCTTGAAAGCATAAACCCTAGTCTCTTGTAGTCACTTTAAAATTTCTTTCAGCTGACAATAAAACAAAACAATCTTCAAATGCAGTTGTTCTTGGTCAACCTTGAAAAGGCTATACAGTCAAAAGTCGTTAATCCGGACTCGTCGGGACTTCGACGATTCCGGATTATCGATTTTCTGGATTATAGATCATCAGTTTAAATCTGGTAAGATGGCATGCAGAAATTATAAAATTAAAAATATGAAACCGTAATTTATGAAATAAAGAACAATTATGATCTAAAGGGTATCAAAATTTACAAAAAAAAAAGCTTAATATTTATTTGTTTACTTTACTTTCTCCGCTATCGGAAGCGAATTATAATGACGAGGAATTTGATTTAAATCATATCAAAGACGGAGTACATCGAGATGAAATACTACATTTAGTAAGGAATTATAAGCCAAATAAAATAAAAACATCTGCCCTGAAGATAAGGATAGTGCTGACAGATCAACTTCCAATTCATTGCGTGCCGCAGAGCAGCGTGAAATTGATAAACAGATTTCGGAATGGTTAGATAAACAAAGGATATCCCTTTATCCATTTTTTGCAGCAATTCCACTTTTTGTTTAATGGACTTCGAAACAAACTTTCGCTTTGTAGATCCTTTACATATTAGTAAATATATATCGGAAATTCTATTTGACATAACCGAAAGTTCAAGCTTACTTTTATAAAATTGCTCTAACAGTCTGCAAAAAATAATAAGCCGGATCCAATTCAAAGATTAAGGAACAACGCAATCTGCAACATTAACTGAATTAGATAATTTTAGCTTAGCTTATACAGTCCGTTACACATTAAACGCGCTTGCGTAAATGCATTTTGGGCATGCGCACACGCATATTCGCAGCTGTAAAGGTCTTACGTGCGTGCATCAATGCGGTGCATGCGCAGAAAGTTTGTAGCTTTGAGGTCCGGATTATAGATCATTCCAGATTATGGGTGTCCGAATTAACGACTTTTGACTGTACTAACAAATTTGCTGCTTAAAAAGTTAAACCCCACTTTTGCCCTTTCCTTAAATTACACTTTGGGTATTTAACTTGGTGTATATTTTCCCATCAGCCATTTCTGACAAACAAAAAAAAAAAAAAAAAAAATGTCGTCAAACTGTAATTTAGCCCAATAATGGATGAGTGTCATATTGTAATACACTTAAAAGATCCTCACTTTGGTTTTATGTAACCTCAAATAATCTTTGATAAGCTGGTTTTGTTTATGCAAAGAAGAAATATATATATGTTAACTGGGTTCTTCCTTAGAGTGCACACCACAAAAATTTTGGCAAAACTTGGTAACATTTAAAATTTTATGAAAACTAAAAAAAAAAACACTATGGTAACCTTCAAAAAATGAAAAACTGTTATGAATGGCAGAAAAAACATTTATTTACCTTGAGGAAGTTATTAATTTGACAGCTGCTTTGAGCTCATATTTAGATGCTTTTTTGTATACACTATATACACATAATTTGTATCTCTTCAATATGTAAATAGTGATCTGTGATCACTTAACTAAAATAAGGAGTCATTTATTCCTTCAACCTTTCAGCTGAATGACTGGCAGAATGCATATAAACTTTCCAAACTGACAGAAAAATATGTTAAGTACCCCACATTAAACAATATAACACATATGTATATTGTACATATTATCACATATGTATCTATTGTATATTACATATATGTATCTATCTGGACACTGTTAGAAAACTTGAACAGCAAGCTCATTTTTCATTATCCTGTAATGAGGATGATGAGAAGTGTAATTGACCAGAAGCGTTTCTAAATATATAGAAAGGCAGAATTTAATTATAAATAATTTTTAATTGGAAAATAAAGACAAATGTAACTGATTATATTTAATTGCATTTATATCACATTACTGGATCTTTTATTAAAATTCTTCAGGCAGTTAAGGTAGCAATGAATGTGACCTCATTTTTATGTAGATGTCATCACAAGAGTTTTGCCAAATAGATAGGAATCAACATAATGTCATGCAATTCCTTTGTGTTTTTTGTTCTAGCATTTTACTGACCCTGTAAGCATTCAATACATTGTATATATGCACCACACAGTCCAGTTGTGTCACTATTTACAATGCAGTCCCACTGAAATTTAAGCACAATTGTACATGTAACATTGCTATTATGTCTACTAAATAATGCCTTGGTCTTGGATGATATAGACAGTTTATGAGGCCACTGGGTGAATTCTTTTGCCTTGTCTTCTGAGGGGTGCCTAGTTATACTTTTGATTAAGATAACAAAACTATCCATTCATGCAAACTAGCAGATCCACATTTTCATCCCTTTCAAATAACCACGTTGGCAATGAAGTTCTATAAAATTATTTTGTTGTTGTTGTTTGTTTTTTTAAATCCATTTCTGTTATCAGACTGCATTTGCTTATAGCTGTGGATAAAACGTTAAATTAGTTAAGGGTGCTGTTCTGTTATTGGAACCGGATTCAGAAATGTATGAATGCATGAGCAATGTGTGAATATATGTTACCATGAAAGACCGAAATTGGAGAATGTCGACTTTCACCGGAGAATGTCAACATTCACCAAATACGTCGGTGAAAGATCGAATATTTCTTTACATTCTTGTACATTCGGACCCTCACCGGTGTATATCGACAATCACAGATATGCTCTGGTGTAGGTCGAAAAGAGAGGAGTATATGTACACGCTGCCATTCCAAAAGGAAGTGTTCCACAAATAAATGCAGTTGTAAAAGCAAGGGCCTCTTGTGGAATTCAAAGTGTCATAATAGTTTAAGTTGTTGCAATAAGATTTGAATCACATAATTTGGTAAGTTTATAACTTCTATTATTTTCCTTTCTCATTTTGAATGTACTGTGTGTTTTAAGTTCTTATATTCTTAAGTTCTTATTCTGAGTCTCCAGTGCGTTT